TCCATCAGAAGAGTTTGTGAAAAACATAGAAAGTATCATTAATGTTCACCAGGTTAGTTTGGTTTGAATTTCAGTATTCAAATAGTATATTTAGTAATATTACTCAGCATGGGCTATATATTGCCCACTTTAAGCATGGGAATACTTGTTTATGATCCAAACTTTTAAATCTAATAGAATATTTGGATTTTTGATCTTGTCATCTGTCCCTCCCTTCCTTCTCAGTCTTTGGTATTCCAATGACTCTAGTTGATACATTGCTCTGTGCATGCCCTTTCACAGCATCTGATGAAGTGAATTTAGGCTTACAAAAGCTTATGCTATACATCTCTGATTTATGTATTCTATAAGGTGCAAATCTGCCTTGAATTCTGCAGGTCACACCTCAACATCGTTAGCTCTAAGAAGCTATCTCATTGTACTTCTTTTTTCTTGCTTATATTCTCTTTACTAAACAATTTAGTTTAAGTTTAGTTGTCAGTTTATTCACATTACTTCTTGGCTTCAGTTAAATTACTTATATGAATAAGGTGACGAATAACATTTTCTTGCATACAGTCCACACTGGAATATAATACTCCCTTTTTCCTAAGTTCTGGCTCCATAGAGCATGGACAGAGTCTAATCTTCAGCTGCACCATGAGGGACACTGTGAGCAGGTGTGTCAGCATCAGGACCTCTAAAAAGCAGGCATGCAGCTGGAAATTCCAGCTGTACATTCACTTTAAGTTCCTATGCCAGGAAACAACACCTGGTAGTGGGGTATTCCCAGCTCCCCAGCTGCTGTTTCCATGTGCTTGGTGGTACAGCTAGGGAGCTGGGAGCTTTCTGCACATGCCCTTGGCTTTTGATACAGGGTTCCAGATGCTGGCAGGTGGCAGTGGTGCAACTGGGTTTTGAGCAATGTTATACCCCATTCCCACTTTATGCACACAGTACTCTGTTACACTGACAGAGCCAATTACAGTTTCCATACACTGTCCTTTGGACCCCCACCAAACATGGTTTTCCTTTTCAGTTATACAGCTCTAGGTTAAAGCCCAGCCATGGACATATGGGGTGTTTGAAGCACTTCAAGTACCTTTAAAGCTTAAAACATCCCACAGATGCTCCTGTAGATGCTCTGCTTTTACTGCCTGCCCCCACCTTGGGCTGGGGGGGGAACAATATAACAGCCACTGAGTGCTCTTCTGTATATTCAGCTGTCCTCAGGAACCTCCAGTAACAAAAAGGTTTGCAGGGATTCCTGCTCTCTAGCCCCCTGGCTGGAGAGCATTAGAACTGCATGTCTTCATGGCCATTAGGAAGTACAGACAGTCCTCGACTTACATTTCAAATTACGTTTCACAATTACAATGTTTGTAAATTGACACCCTGTTTCAACTTTCTGACATCAGTTTTGACTTTACAACGCTTGATCCGATGCGATGTCATGCCAGCGAACAAGTTCGCTGAATCGCCTATCTCCCTGGAGAACGTCTGTCCAAACTTCCTTGCACACTTTCTTTAAGAAAGCAGACAAGGCTCCAGAAAACCCTACAGCCAAGACTCCTGAGAAGACTCCAGCCAAGAGCCCTTCAAAAAGTCCAGTAAAGTCACCTCAAAAAAGCCCTTCCAAATCAATATGATTGCTATTTACAATAGAAATACATTAATGTAGCTATATTACTCATCTATAATTGATTGAGTACAAAATTCTGGGTTATTTTTGGTGAAAATAGGGTATTGGGCCTTGGTTCAGGAACCAATCCACCATTTATAACGTTGTTTCCTATGGGAAAATTAGTTCCGAGTTACACCGTTTCGACTTAAGATATGGTTTTCAGGAACCAATTGTGTTGTAAGTCCGAGGACTGCCTGTATCCAGGGGTGAGGGGCACACATCTGCATGGAGCTGACGTGCGCTGGATTTCAAGTGCTTCAAATGGGTGCCCATCCATACCCCAAATGGTTCATGCAAAGAGACCCCTGAAAGAATCCTTTTTATTTGGACGTTGTTTTCTGTCTCATAGAACTGATATTACCTCTTTAATAGAGTTTAAAGGACAACTAGCAATGTGGTATTACAAAGATAACATTAACCTTGTTGCTGAACTGAAAAGTAGTGTTTTTATAAATAAACTTGGATAACATCCTAGACTCCTGTTTACTCATAGCAGGGATTTCTTTAGAGAAAAAGCTGCACAGACCTTGGTAAAAATGGAAGTTGCTAACCACTGCAGAATACACAACTGAGATCTTCCGTTCAATAGAAATTCCATCTTTTCCACCTTTTTATTTTGACTAATGAGAGACAATGTATATCACAGGCTCTGTTCATTTTATTCAGGGGTTGGCTTAAAAGAGATGACACACAGGACAAAAGAATCCAGATTTTGTAGATAATCTCATTTTACAATAGACGTTGAAAGAATAGGAATGTGAGAGGAAAGGATTTCTAAAGGTAATAGCCTTAATTGGACCAACTGTGTAGTTCAGATAGAGTTAGACAAACTTTTAAATGCAAGATATTCTTCATCAAAATGTCTTGCATTCAAAAACTCCTCTAACTCTATCCCAACTACACAGTTGGTCCAATGAAAGAGATCACCCTAAGAAATCCTTGCCTTTCACATAACCTCTGGAACATCAAGGCTATCACACCAGTCTTACAGTACTAAATAAGAATGCATATTTATATGTAAGTGGCTAATAGGTAACAGTCACAGCAGATGGCAACACACAACTTAATCTTCAAATAGCACTGTTTTGTAACACAAACTGTGTTATTCATGGATTTATTGCTTCTAAACTTCTCTATTGCTGTGTTTTCTCACTGGGAAAAATATCATAATTTAAGAATGGGTTAATAATTTCATTTTTTCTCCCACACTAGAACATACATATCACTATATACAAATAATGGACCAAAATTAAGATACAGTTGAAAACGACTGCAGGTCCTGTATAATACCCTTTTAATGAAATTAATTTAAATATGAAAGCCTATTATTTTAATAGGATTCTCACCAATGGAAAAATAACTGGTGATGAAATGGGAAGTGGCAAATGATAAGGAATGGGACCCATTACTTGTTGCTAAATCAAAATTTGCCATGTGATATAAGTTTTATTAATTTTGAGTTTGGAACTGCAGCTATACATTTAGCAAATATGTTATCAAACAATACTGATGCTGCTTACATTTTTCAACAACAATACTGCAAAACTAAAGAACTGTTTGTTGGCAGATAGGGGTTTGATGTTTGCATAGTAACTCAAAGTCAACAAGTCATGGTGATGGATACTAAATACATCTTTGTGTAATTAAATATAAAATTAGAGTTGGATTACAAACTATGGAACCAAGTCTGCAAATACATATTCATGTGAACAGAATTTATTCCTACATGCAGTCCACTAAATTCAGTAGAACAGTTCCTGTGAATAGGAAATGCATGTGAATAAAGATTTCCAGGACTGGACTCTGAGTTTGAGTCAAACTTATTTGAGTCAAACTTATTTAAAAAAAAATCTATAAAGGAAATAGGTAAGATTATATCAAAGGGCGTAATTGGTGCTTTTGGCATCATTATCCTATGCAACCATATTGTACCGGAACACGTGTATTAGGAGTAGCTTAGAATAATTTTGCTTTTTCTCCTCCTCCATATTTGTAGGCAATATTGTATCAATATGAATTTCATAGATTTCATAGACATCAGGGCTGGAAGGGACCTTGGAAGATCATCGAGTCCAGCCCCCCGCCCAAAGGGCAGGAAGTCAGCTGGGATCACAGGATCCCAGCAAGATAAGCATCCAGTTTCATCTTGAAGGTGTTCAATGAAGGTGCTTGAATCACCTCCGGTGGCAGGCTGTTCCAGACCTTGGGGGCTCGGACTGTAAAGAAATTCTTCCTTATGTCCAGCCTGAAACGATCTTGAAGTAGTTTGTGACCATTCGACCTCGTCATCCCTTGGGGCGCTCTGGTGAACAAACGTTCCCCCAGATGCTGGTGGTCACCCCTGATAAACTTGTAGGTGGCCATCAGATCACCCCTGAGCCTGCGCTTTTTCAGGCTAAAGAGCCCCAGGGCTCTCAGCCTGTCATCATAGGGTCTGCTTCCCCAACCTCTGATCATGCGCATGGCTCTTCTCTGGACTCTCTCAAGCTTCTCCACATCCTTTTTGAATTGTGGAGCCCAAAACCTCGCTCCAGGAGGGCGGACGCTTTCGGCGGTTGCTCCCGGTGGCTGGGCCGGGTGCCGCATCTACAATATTGCCAGGAAAGGTTCGCGGAGATTTTCGGGGACACGTTTTTCAGGACCCTAAATGCCCATCTTCGGTTCCAGGAGGGCGGCCTGCGGATCTTCCGGGGCACGACTGTGCTGCAGGAGGAGGTCAAGCCTGAGTTTGGGTCCATGTCGACTGGAGCTCCGGCCCTGGCGTGGACCGGGCGGCCAGGCCAGGCGAGAGTTCCAGGAGCCCGGCCACGATTCCGGCTTCTCCCCGGTGCCCGGCCCGGAGGTTGGGGAGGCCCAGGGGCCTTCTGCGCGGGCGGCGGGCTGCTCCCGCGGGGGAGCTGAGCCGAGCCGGGGCCCGGGAGGTTGAATTACTAAATGTTAAATATTAATTAAGTGTGAATAATTACAACATTAATTCACTGCTATCTATTTTTATAGTCAACAGCAACAGTGTTTCAAAAGGTTAAACTCTTTACCATAATACTTTTGTTGAGGTAATATTGTACAAATACAACATGAATGATATTAATTACATTTTTCTTACTGTGATTCAATTCCCCTTACACTTTTCTCAATGGGTTTTGTAGCATGCAACTTAAACAGATCAGCATGTCTTTCAAACAGGAAAGATCAAATGACATTCCTCAATATAAAAGCATTCAAACTGATTTAGGGCTAACTTTCACCTTCCAACACACAGATAGATCCACTTACCTCGGTGAGAGCTGTACAAGTGTACACAATAGAATTTGGATCCAAGATATTCAAGGGAACATACCTGATTTTTTCATTAATACTACTTTCTTCCTCAGGTCTTTGCAGAGGTTCTTTTCGGTTATTTGCAGACATATGTAGCTCAGACAAAATTAAAAAATTTGATTTTCCTTTCACAGAAGGATTATGATGCACAGGAACAATGGGATGACCTGTTTCAAAAAAGTCAGCTGCAGGATATAAAAAAATGAAAAATGAATTCAACTTTCAAATCTAAACATGATTTGTATGATAACGTTTTGCTATTTACTGTACATTTTTCAAAATTTGAAAATTCAAAACCATTTCAAAATGCCTTTTAAAATTCAATTATGTTTTAAAGGCAAAGTGCAACAAGCCTGGTAAAGTATTAAGGATAGAAAATAGGATCTATTTATACATATGTGTGCTAGGGGTGCACTGATAGATTTCTGGGGCTGATACTGATAGCCGATATTTAAGAAGGTATATCGGCCAATACTGATCCAATTTCCGATACAGCTACCTCCAGTTGGTAAGTCCGGTGTGGTGGAAGGGGAGGGGGAGGGGAAAGGTGGTGGAGGAGGCAGATCAACACCCTCCATGGTGAAGGAGGGTGCAGGGGCAGGCAATGCCTGGGCAGGGCAGGTGGGGAGGCCGGAGCTTTAGCTTGGGGGGAGATCCAGCTCCTGCTAGCACCCCGGGAGGGCATGGCAGGCGTGTGCCCCCTGGATCTGCGCAGGGTGGGGTGGGGCAGGCTACAACTGGGGCTACGCAGGGCTCTTCTTGGCAGGGGCTGGGCTCACAGTGGGTGCTAGTGGTGCTGGGAGGATGTTGCATCCACCCGAAATTTTGCTGCTTCTTCACTCCCAGCACTGCCACTGTCAGCCGCCTAGCGCAACCCTAGGTCTTCCCGGCACATGGGTGGAGGCAGGGCATAGAGCCAGGACTGTGCCGGGCAGCTGGCAGCACTGGGAGTGGAGTGGCGGCGAAATGGGTTGAATGCAACATCCTTCCAGTGCTGCCAGTGCCCACTCTGAACCCAGCCCCTGCCAAGAAGAGCCCCGCGCAGCCCCAGCTGCAGCCTGCCCTGTCCCACCCCATGCAGATCCAGGGGGCACATGCCCCCCCATGTCGCCCCAGGATGCAAGAAGGCAGCAGGAGCTGCCTTTCCCCCATTAGCTGTGGCTCTGGCCCCTCCCCCACCTGAGCAGCGCCTGCCCCTGCCTCTTCCCTCACCATGGGGGGAATTGATTTGTTCCCCCATGCCCCTTCCATCCCCTCTCCCCTTCCACCACACTGGACTTACCAGCTGAAGGCAGCTTTCCACGCTGCTGGCTGTGCCCCTCACTGCCCAAGTGAAGCACTGCGGCTGCATGCAGCATGGGCATTTATCACTCAAATTATTGGCCTCATCGGGCTGATATCCAAAACAGCCAGTTTTCTTTATATTGGTACCGATCTGATACCGGACCGATGTATCAGTGTACCTCAAATATGTGCACAATTTTTCATGCAGAAATACTGGAAGCAACATTAAAGCAAAAATTTATGAAAAAGTCAGAAGAACATAGTTTTTTAGAAATGCTTTTTAAGTTATTAATTGATTCAGGGTAACAAAAGTATCATTAAAATATAACCAATGAAAACAATTATTAATAATTTATCTTCTAACATTTGTGATTATGAGGAAAATGAATATATAAATTTTCTTGTAAAAATAGTTACATTTTCTGGATCAAAGAAAAAATAAAGTTTTTGAAGGCTTGTCACTTTGGCCTACACTGCAGTGCAGTCTGTATATTAGGTCAAACACAGCAGCTGTTTAGAAGAATATAGTAATATCACAGGACAGGTCAGGACAAGCTATAAAGCAGAGTAACTTTATTCAATTTAAAGAGCAAAAGATATTTACCATATTTACTTAAATCTAAGATGACCCTGAATTTAAGATGACCCCCCCCAGTAATTACACCTTATCCATGAAAAATTTGTAAATTTGTTATTTCATAGATTTCATAGACATCAGGGCTGGAAGGGACCTCGGAAGATCATCGAGTCCAGGCCCCCGCCCAAAGGGCAGGAAATCAGCTGGGGTCATAGGATCCCAGCAAGATAAGCATCCAGTTTCATCTTGAAGGTGTTCAATGAAGGCGCTTGAACCACCTCCGGTGGCAGGCTGTTCCAGACCTTGGGGGCTCAGACAGTAAAGAAGTTCTTCCTTATGTCCAGCCTGAAACGATCTTGAAGTAGTTTGTGACCATTAAACCTCGTCATCCCTTGGGGCGCTCTGGTGAACAAACGTTCCCCCAGATGCTGGTGGTCACCCCTGATAAACTTGTAGGTGGCCATCAGATCACCCCTGAGCCTGCGCTTTTTCAGGCTAAAGAGCCCCAGGGCTCTCAGCCTGTCATCGTAGGGTCTGCTTCCCTGACCTCTGATCATGCGCGTGGCTCTTCTCTGGACTCTCTCAAGCTTCTCCACATCCTTTTTGAATTGTGGAGCCCAAAACTGGACACAGTACTCCAGCTGCGGCCTCACTAAGGCCGAGTACAGGGGGAGAATGATGTCCCGGGATTTGCTTGAGAAGCATCTATGGATGCAAGCCAGTGTTTTGGTCGCTTTACTAGCCGCCGCATCGCATTGCAGGCTCATGTTCATCTTGTGGTCAATGATGACCCCCCAAGTCTCTTTCTTCCATAGTGCTAGCCAACATAGCACTGCTGAGCCTATAAGGATGCTGCGGGTTTTTTTTTCCCAAGGTGGAGAACCTTGCATTTATCGGCGTTGAACATCATCAGATTCTCGTCCGCCCACTTGCTGAGCCTGTCCAGGTCAGCCTGGATCACCTGCCTGTCTTCTGGTGTGGATGCTTTGCCCCAAAGTTTGGTGTCATCGGCGAACTTGGCCAGTCCGCTTCTGACTCCAGTGTCCACATCATTAATGAAGATGTTGAACAGTATGGGTCCAAGGACAGAGCCTTGGGGGACCCCACTAATTTTCCATGTATACAATCTAATTGGAGGGTTGCCTTTAACTCATCCCTGCAGGACAGGCAGACAGTGTGGAGATCAAGCGGCTTGCCTTGGGCTTGTGTGTGTCCTCCTGCCACCTCTGCCCCTTGCCTGCCCTGCCACAGCTTTGAGTCCCACTTTTCCCCAGTCCCTGCTCCTGCCTCCTATTCCACCCCCCAGCCTCTGCTCCACACTGGCAGGCTCAACCCCCATTCTAGGGCACTGAGCACAGCCCCAGCCCAGTCCCCATAGCAGCTTTAGGGGCTGGCTGGGCCCATACTCAGTGCCTCAGGCTGCAGCGTGCAAAAAGCCAAGATTCAAAAGTACAGAGGGGGAAGGAGGGAGAGAGGTGGGTAGGGGAGCAGAAACTATGTAGGGGAAGATGGCAAGGTGCAGAAGCAGGGGATGGTGGGTTACAGATAGCAACTGCAACTACAGCTGTGACTATGGCCCTGGGTCCAGGTAGGGGCTGGAGCCCAAGTCACAGCAACTGCCTGCTTTCCACCCCCTTACGCAATTCTAAAATGAGGGGGTTTTCCACCCTCTCCCTGCCATGTTAAATGGGAGGAAAAAAACTGCATCTTAGAATCTAATAAATATGGTATTGTAGGCAGAATGTAACTACCTAATCAGGAATTTGTAGAGGATGCCAGGATAAATATTTCTGGCCTTGTGAAAAGTACCTTGGGATTTTTAATTATCACAAAGTAGCTATCTGGCACTTAGATTTTAATGCCTTATTCAAGAGACAACACCTTCAACTGAACAGTAACTATTAATGCAGAGGCATTCAGAACAGTACAACTTATTGAATCATCATAATCCAAGTGATACCTTCAAATATGGATCAGGCTTATTATGCTTTTGGCTTGATGCTGAGTGGCTGAGAGCCATTCAGCTCACATCCATCTTAATGTGATCTATCTGAGCAAATGTGCAGGTTTTTTCTCTGCTCTGCTGGTGAGAGCAGGGGGAGGGGCGATTGTAGGCAAGGAGCTGCAGGCAGGTAAGTGTGCCTGCACTCACCCTGGGAACTGCAGATAGCTAAGTCTGGGTATGGGGGCTGCAGCTGCAGCAAGGGGCGGGGGAGGCGGAGTTGCCTGCTCCCTCCAGTGGGGGAAGGGGGCTGGGGGGCCTTTTGAGGGCTGTGGCTGGGCTGGCAGCACAGGGGCTGGTCCCTGTGCTTGCAGGGGTGGAGCAGCCAAGAGACGCTGCAGGGGGGAGGGGGAGGTGGGCTGTGGTCAGACATCCTGGCGTGGCACAGTGCAGCAGCCTCAGCCAAGAGGGGGGGGTGCCACAAGCCTCTCCTCGTCTTTCCTCCAGCTCATGCCAGGTCCAGACTCACTCTGAGTCACCATGCTCTGGCCTGGTTAGGATGGGGGCAGCTGGGGCCCCTCCAGCAAGGCTGTAGGGAACAGGGGGCTGCAGGCTGGGAGTGAGGGGCAATGGCAGGGCTGCCTCTCCCAGGGTGCGTGCAGCGGTGGGAGCACCCCGGCACCCCTGGATGAGCTACCCAGGCTCTGGCCATCCCACCACCCACCCTGGGGCCCCATTCACCCCAGCCCCTCCCTCACTGTGGAGGTCTTGATCGGCACCCCCCACCCCTACCTGCTGGGCACTGTGTGGGTGCACACAAGCTCAGCCCCCACAAATAATATTTTCTCCCTCCACCTATGGTCTTTGGGAACTTTTGCCCCCTAGGATTAATTTTTTGCATGTTGGACTGGGTTGATTCAGCCCAGCTCTGCCCCTGGGGTTGTCAGTAGGGGGAAGGAGGAAGTGAAGGGAGGGAGCAGCTTGAGCTACAGGAAGGGGTGTGCTGTCTGGCTGGAGCTGGATGGGTGGAGGTGGAAAAGAGCTACCCCTGCCTTGCGGACCCCAGCTGGGGTACTGGAGGGGACCCCGGCCAGGCCCACAAAGTGAAGGGGCTCTGGTTCCACCCCCACCTCCCTCCAGTTCAGGTTGGGCAAAGCAGAGGCAGGGAAGCAAGCGGGGGAGAGGGTCTGTTACAACCCCACCCCACTCCACCTCCAACCAGGCAGCAAACTGCAGCTGGCAGCTGGGAGCTGTTTCCTCCCTTCACCTTCTCCTCCCTCTGCTGACAGCCCTGGATCTGGGAGGGAGGGAGGAGCTGGGGAGAAGGATGGTGCAGGCAGGCTCCATCCTGATGTCATAGAATCATAGAAGTAGGGTTGGAAGGGACCTTGTAGATCTTCAAGTCCGACCCCCTGCCTGGGCAGGAGGAAACTGGGCTCAAATGACCCCAGCCAGGTAGGCATCAAGCCTCTTCTTAAAGACCCCCAGGGTAGGAGCCAGCACCACTTCCCTTGGAAGTTGGTTCCAGATCCTAGCCACCCTAACTGTGAAGTAGTTCTTCCAGATGTCTAATCTAAACCTACTCTCCAACAACTTGTGGCTGTTATTCCTTGTTATCCCTGGGGGCACTAGGGGAAACAAGGTCTCCCCCAAACCCTTCTGGTCCCCCCTAGTGAGTTTACAGACGGTCACCAGGTCCCCCCTAAGCCTTCTGTTCTGGAGGCTGAACAGGTTCAGGTCCTGTAGCCTCTCAGTGTAGGGTCTGCCCTGCTGTCCCCAGATCATGAGGGTGGCCCTCCTCTGGACCCTCTCGATGTTGTCCACATCCCTCTTGAAGTGGGGTGCCCAGAACTGGACACAGT